GTCCTGCTATTCCGGCCCGTTAGGAGCAGTGCTTCCCTTGCAGCATCCTTTTCTGATTTCACCTTAGTTTTGCACCCAGGGCCTTGTGAATGTAAAGCACATTCTTCTTCGAGCTAGCTATGTACCTCCAACCCATTCTGACTTCATTTTAGCATCACACCCCCAGAGCTTTGTATTATGATTGTTTTGTTTTCGAGATACAGCCTCAGACTAGCCCCAGCTGGCCTTTCCCTCACATCCATCCTCCTGCCTCAGCCTTGCTCAGTGTTGGGATTACAGGTGGGAGCCGCCACAGCTGGCCAACATGAATGGAACTTCAGCTGGGCTGGAGATTGAATGTAGGGCTGCGTGCTTCCCAAACAAGAGTCTTAAGTGGTTACGGATCCAGTCCAAGCACTAAATTCAAGAATTCTAAATTAAATAAGTATCTGCCTCAATTCTTACAAAAACTGCCAAAATAAACTATCCTAAGTGAGGCGGGAAAGCACAAGGCATAGTTTAGCAACGTTGGACTCCACTTGGCTTGGGGTATGTGCAAGCTGCTTCTTCTTCTTCTTTTGTGGTACATATATAAAATGCAATTTTATTCGGCTTTAATGGAAAATAAAATCATAAAGAAAATAAATGGAGCTGGAGAACTTGCCACTGAGGAAGGTGTCTCAGGCTCAGACAGCTAAACAGCACATCTTCTCTAACATATGTGTAACCTAACTTTTTTTTCTCACGTTTTTTTAATAATTTTAATATTTTTATATTAATCACAGGTTATTTACTTTGTATCCCAACCGGAGCCCCCTCCCTCATGCACAAGCTTCTTCAACCTGTTAGCCAACGGAGAGCCCCACCCACATCAAGCTCCCCATATACCACCCTCTGAGCACTAGAGTACATTTCTCCTCCTGTTAACAACCACTAGCTTTGACACATTCTATCTAAATATATACCCAGTACATCTGGGTATGAGAGTAGGAGGGCCAGTGTGACCTGAGCTTGTTTGGGGTTTAAGCACAATGAGGCAAGCTGTGTCCTCTAAGTGAATTTAGGGAGAATCTTTTTTTTCATTTTTTTTAAAGATTTATTTATTATTTAGTTTTCTTTCTGCAGGTTAGAAGAGGGCACCAGATCTCATTATAGATGGTTATGAGCCACCATGTATGTGCTGGGAATTGAACTCAGGACCTTTTGAAGAGCAGCCAGTGCTCTTAACCTCTGAGCCATCTCTCCAGCCCTCTTTAGGGAGAATCTTATTTACCATTTTATGCCTTTGCATAATTGGACACTCAGGATTTAAATTAGTATTGTGGAGCCATCCCTTGGAATGTCTAGATGCTGCTGAACACTAAGCCAGGAGGGAGGGAACAGTCTGGAGTGGGTGGGCTCTGCAGGATTCCAGTCCAGCTTGCGGTGCTTCGGGAGAAGGTCTTCTCTGAGGATTTGTGCATTATAGCTCTTTTAGATCAGTAGATTATTTTAACGCTTTTGAGAGATCTCAAAAGCATTACATCTCAGTTAAAATAGCCACTCTCAATCTTCAGTGAAATAGCTTGTGCTCCTTTATTGGTGAAATAGCTTAAGTTCTTGGGAAGTAGGGAGGGTTTTGGGGGTGAAAACCTTCTACTGTTTGGGGCTGATGCTGTTTATTCTCTATTTGCATCCAGGTGCTCGCCTTGTGACTACCTGTGACCATGGAGTTGGGGGCACCAGATTATGAGCTCCCAGGAAGGCACAGAAACAGGAAAGGAGCTGCCCCACTCCTGCCGATCTCAGGATGATGTTTTACATTTTGAGATTTCCAGGGTTTAAACATGTTCTATCTCAACACTTCCATGCCAGTTCCTCTGGTGGCACAGTCCACATGCCCCACAAGGTACCTTAGGGAAGGGACATGAATGGTAGAGAAAGTTATGACTTAATCTGTTAAGGTAGAAAACTACCCACAGTATGTGCCTTCACAACCAAAGTTCTCTTGGGCCCAAAAAAGGAAGCCCCAAGCATTTGGGGAGCAGAGTACTTTCTCATGCATGTGTCCCCCCACTCTACTCAGTGCACCCTGATCTATGCTTTGAATAGGGTTCCTGTATACTTTGCAAATCTGTGAGCACTTGTATCAATCCTTTAAGACAGCAAGAACCCGCAAACAGCCATTATGGGATCATGTGTATTATACACGAATTATTTTTCAGTATTTGGAGCATCAGAGGACTGAGTGGAGTACAGTCGATAGACTGCTTACCTAGAATACACCAAGCCCTAGACTCAGTCCCTTAGCACTGTATAAAATAATTAGGCATGGAGGCACTTGCCTGTGATCACAGCCCTAGGGACATAAAGGCAAGATGATCAGAAGTTCAAGATTATCCTCAGCTACTTGGTGAGTCTGAGACAAATATAGATTACTGACTATTGCTGTGACAGGTCTGACCACACTGTTTGTTGGAGAAATATAGAAGGATTTGGGACCCTGGGCTAGAATAGTGGTTGAACACTATAAGTAGGGCTTAAAGGACCATCCTAGCAGGAACAGTACTGCCAAGGGAAATGTGAGCTATGAAGGCACAGCTCAAGAGGCTTCAGAAGGAAACTATATCTATCTATCTATCTATCTATCTATCTATCTATCTATCTATCTATCTATCTATCTATCTATCTATCTAATCTATCTATGTGTAGTCCAGGATGCCTTGGCAGTATTTTCCAGCTCCAGCAGACAGCAAAATGCAGCAGCTTTAGCCACATGGTTCTGGATTTAAGGATCCAGGAGGAAAGCTGTGGAAACTCCCTCTGTGGTTGAAAGCAGCTGAAGCCAGGTGTGTGACAGGGGAGTCGCTGCACACAGGCCCAGAGGCTACATCAACATGTGTAAGTGAAGCCTGGATTGTGTCAGAACCCAAGATGTTGGAGATGCCAAAACCATGGGATATCTGTGAAGGAGAGCTGCAGAAAGGGTATGGAACCAGCTCATGAGAGAAAAATAGGTATGCAGTCAGCAAAGCTGGAAGGGAAGAGCCATCTAACAAGCCTTTTAACATCAGACATGGAGCTGAAGAAATGAGTTTGCTTGATTGGGTTTTGTTCTTGATCTGGTCCAGAATTCCTATGCCTCCTTTCCTCCGTTTTGGAATGGTAATGTATATTCTGCATCATTATATGTTAGAAGCATGTGATCTGCTTTTTTATTTTGTTCTTAGGTGATAGAGAACGAATATTCCTGCCATTCTGTAGTTGGGAGATTGCCTTGGGTCTCCCAAGAGACTCTGAATTTTAGACTTTTATATTGTTGAGACTGATGGAGTATGGGGACTTTTGAAGTTCGACTGAATGCATTTTGCATTATGATATGACCACAACCCTATGGAGGCCAGGGAGTGGATTATGGTGATTTGAATGAGAATGCGGCACATACACCGAATAGTTGGATGCTTGGGCACCAACTAGTGGCATTGTTGGGAAGGATAAGATGTGGACTTTGAGGTCATTTGGGCTTTGAGTTTCAAAACCCCACAGCAGGCCATTTCTCTCTGCCTGCCAGTGGATCAGGATGTAAGTTCTCAGCTCCATGCCTGCCTGCTGCCACAGCTCCTGCCATGATGCTCCGGGACCAACCCTCTGAAACTATAAGCAAGGCCCTGATTAAATGCTTCCTTTTATAAGTGTCTTTTTATGGTGTCTCTAGAATGCTAAGACAGAGACTTTGTCTTAAAAATAATTTAATTAAAATTAGCAAAGTTAATAAGCTCAAGCATACAGCAAAGTTTATGGGTGGAGGAAAAAATGAAGAGTACAAAGGTATTCATTCACTCCATCAATGGTGACACTACAAAACGGCAGGAATACTCTTTCTCTATCACTTTGGGACAACAGATACCACCACATTATTCTGGCAACTCAACAGACTAGGTAACACACCAGATGCAACCCTCAAGATGCCCTGAGGGATGTTGGCCATGGAAGGACAATGAAACTTAAGTATATAATATATAGAAAAGACAACACTGATACCCATTCTCTAGCTCTCATTCTCAATGTAAAGACAAGAAAAGGCCACTTAGTTTTCCTCCTGCTTTACTTTGTCAAAAACAATGTACCTACGCAAGAGAGACAATTTAGTGGCTAAGAGCAATGACTGCTCTTTGAGAGGACCAGGGTTCAATTCCCAGGATCCATGTGGTAGGTAACTCTAGTCTCAGGCCTCAGGCCTATACACATTGTGTATACAAGCAGGCAAAATACCCATACATATAAAATGAAAATAAAGAGAAACAAAACAAAACAAAACAAAACATGCCTAAGAATCTTCCTGCAGATCAAGCTACAGTGTTCATACAGGGACACATGACATACAAGTTTATCTAGAACTGATTCTAAAAAGTACTCTTTAATCTCCTGGGAAACAGTCTCTCAGAAGAAAATAAAACACATTCTAAGGTAGTTCTAATTCACTCTCTTGTGTCTAAAACCCTTCCAGAAGGGCTGGGTGTAGTGGTGCACACTTTTAATCCCAGCACTCCAGAAGCAGAGGCAGGCAGATCTCTGTGACTTTGAGGACAACCTGATCTACACAGCTAGTTCTAGGACAGCTGGGACTACATAGAGAGAGACTGTCTTACACAAATAATTGAGTAAGTAGATAAATCATAATAAAAATAAGTAAATAAAAACCTCAGTAAAAATAAATGAGTTTTGTAAATAACAAACACTAAAATAGAGTTGGGACTGTGGAACACACCTATAAGCCCAGCTCTTGGAAGGTAGAGGCAAGAAGATCAAGAGTTCAAGTACTCCTTGGCTACATGGCTAGTTCTAGATCACCCTGGGCTATGGCACTCTGTCTCAACCCTCCACCCCACGTAAGGTAAAACACAACAGCAACAGAACACTGAATGACTTTGGACTAACTGGTTTAAAGTTCTAAACCCATCTTGTATAGCAAAACTGAAAGTACAACTAAAAATAATGAAATTAAAGAGAAAAACTAAAAGAAAAAACAGACAAAATTCAAATTACTTTGAAAAATCTGATTTTATTTTCTTAATCAAAAAGAAGTATATCTGTGTTAAATTTAGAATATTTAGCTTTCCACTGATCTCTCCAATACTTGCCAGATAGACACTAACAGTGCTCAGAACTGTGAAAGTTAATACCCAATACCACATTTTCCAGTAAGTCCCCCAAGGCATTGGTGATATTAATTTAAAAATAAAAGAATTTTAATAAGCATTGGAAATCTAAGCGACAACGGGTTTTAAGAGTTAAAAATCAGATCTTTTAAAAAACAGATTCTTTTTTTCATTTTTGAAGGACTCAAACCTAACACCTCCAATAGAATACAGTATGTCCCAGCTCCCAAATTATGAAATTCATTATTTCACCTCAGAATAGGAAAACTATAAAATGGAATTTCTAAATTATTACATATATAAATACATTTTAACAGTCACGTTTGCTAGCAGAATTATGAAATAAAACAAAGTCTACATTCAAGGTACGAATGATAAAAAGTTCTTTCACTGTTTTATTTAAGAGTCCATCCTATTCTTCCTTGTTTTTTACCCCTATATTTAAAACCATGGTCAAAGCCAAGAGTCGATCATTTTCTGCACTTAATAGTCATTGGTACCAGTCCTATATACAGTAGGTGTCCTGCAATGGGCTCAGGACTCCCAAGAGTGGGCTATTTGACAACATGATTTAGGAACGCTTAGGAATTCCAAAGTGACTTGAGTCACGCACCCAACACCGACCAGCCGGCAATGGCGGGCTGTTGTGTGTACTGAGCATGGCCAGCATGCAAACAGACTTCTCCTATTTTTTCAAATTGAGGTAAAACAGGCAAAAAATACTTAATATCACAGAAGCTGCATAATTAACACTAACTTCTTTTTGCTGCTGATTTCACATAAACTAATTTTAAAGTTAACTAAAAAAAATTTCTGATATTAAGCATACAAAAAGGAAAAAAAAAAAGGAAAAAGCTATTCTTTCAAATTCATCATTAGTAAAGACTATTTTGAAATGAAGGAAAATATTTCTCCCAGGATCATCATTTTGAATACTCTGTGATACGACTTTTCATTATTTCATTTTTCAATATTAGAAAGAACTCACACCTGGGTACTACCTGGTATTTTCTGAGATAACAAACAATACCAAGAGGACTCATAAATAGGATTTCCTGACAGGTCTGCAAACATATCCAAAACCATAAATCAGTCTTCCTCCAAGAACAAAAGATGGCTGGGAAGTAGCAGCCAGGACTGGCTTTTAGTACAGACACAAAGTTGACTCCTGGTAAACTTTTCTATTGGTTGTTGCTCTTAAAATTTTAGTGCCAGATCTCATGGAAAAAAAAACAAAAAAGACTGGCAACAAGTCCTAATGTTAACATTAATATAACAACTATAACCTACTGCCAGTAATTATTTCTGTGTATAGTTGTTTTAGTCAAGAAGCACCAGGACCCTAAAAGTACAACTTTCGAGAATGGTACTTGCATCATTACCTCACTGCTTCCAAATTAAACAACAGCATTGGGAGAACACCAGCCCGTAAGCAGTTTTCTAACCGTAATTTGACTCGACAAAAGCATTTTGTTTAAAATGTTCCTTTTTCACTATTGATAGAGTCTAGGAATTATACTCCCAGCTGATAGGTTGACGTAAAGAATAAATGATCCCTAAACCTCATGGTAATGAAACACTAAGCTTGCTTTTTTCTATAGTATGGAAACAGTCCCACACAGACCAAAAGAAGAAAACCTACCAAGTCAAAGTATTGTAAATGAGGTTCATCTTGTGTACCCAGAAGCAGAAAACCTCAAAAGTCACAAGAGAAAGACTACCAATTTGTTCCATCATACAAAAACCAACCCCAAACACCTTAGTTCTGAGCTCAAAATTTCCCTAAGATGTTACTAGGAGATGTTTAGGGCACTTGAAAAGTGGCAGCAGTTAACTGCTGAAAGCTAACACTACAGAAGAAAGGCCCTCAAGGGCTCAGGGCTGCCCACCCATCCCTTACCACCCCCACCCAGAATATGTAAAACCTCCTGTGAAAGTTTTTCTTATGCTAATAAAGACATACCACCTACAGTGCTAAAACTAAAACTAGCAGCATTAGAGAAATAAAGCAAAAATAGGGAGAATATAAGAATGATCTAAATGCCTACATAGAAAGAAACAAAGCAGCAGGGACCCTTTGCCCTCTGGTTATGTTTGTAGAGAACTGGTTGCATTAAACAACCAGACTTACCCACATTAACAAGAATTTAACAATGCTTCCCCAAGACAGAAAACAAAACTTGACCTTTCCTGTCAAAGGGGACAGAGAGGCCTCTTTCAGTCCTGGAGGTGAATGAGTTCAAAGATTGGCAATAAAGAAATTTTTTTTTTTTTTTTTTTGAAAAACAGAAAAAGAAAAAAGCATTTACAGGCGTGATGGAAACAAGCCTGGCATTTTATCGAACAGTCACACCAAGTTTCTCCAGCACACGGACACCCTTTTCTTGGTACTCTTGTCTGGTCATCCAAAAGTTGTCTTTGTCTTTCATGATGTCTGCTAGGACTGCACCACCCAAGAACACCATGTGCTTTCTGCGGGGTGGGTCTTCAATTCGGATCTTAAATTTCTACAGGAGAAAGAGAACAAGAGATCATGTATGCATAATGCTCTATTTCAGGAAGACTTCTGCATATGTACTCTTGAATCTCTCCACAATCTGCAATCCACACACACAACAGGCTGTTACCTCAGACACAGAAACATTCACTAATTCCCAAACGCATGATTAGGAGGCAAGAATCTTAATTCACACCTGTCACCCTGATTTGCAGTAACTTGCACAAACGATCACTATGCTAACAGCCCAAGAACCAGAAGCAAGATTGGAACAGGTTTTCCTTAGTCCCTGAGCAGTGTTCTTCAAGGTCTAACACCACCATAATTCTAGCTCAGTGCAACACAGTAAAACTGATTTTTCTGGTATTGGACTAGGTGAGAAGTATGTTATAAGCTTCCAAAAATTGTGATTCTTTGTACTTTCTGGGAAAACAAAAACGGACCTGGCCATAGTCCATAATCCTGGCCAGCATTTAACTAAAGCTTGCTTCAAATTTGGCTCAAAATAGTGGTATTGGTCTTATTCTCACCCAGTGGGATTAACAGCTTCCCTCAATATACTGATTCAAGGTATGTAAACCAAAGAAACTTCCCTCTTCAAGTTGCTTTTGATCACGATGTTTTATCATACCACAGTAGCCCTTAGACAGGACTGAACTCAAGATTCATCCACACCTATGATGTGGACTACAGCTCAGCTCCACCCCAGACCTCCAGTTCCTTATATACAAAACTGACAGTCTACTGTCTTAAATTCAAGTGAAATGTATTCAAAACAAGCAAGGCTGGATATGTTTGTTATAGATTGCATTGATCCATTTTCTTTCTTCTTTTCTCTCTCTCTCTCTCTCTCTCTTTTTTTTTTTTTTTGGTTTGTTTTCAAAACAGGATCTCACTATATAGCTCTGGCTGTCCTGGAACTCACTACGCAGACCAGGCTGGCCTCAAACTGCCTGACTCATCTCCCAAGTGCTGAGATTAAAGGAGTGTACCACTACACCCACCCAGCTGCTACTGTCCATTTTCAATACAAGGTATATTTAAAGTTCATCAGCGTTACAGATAAGTGAATGAAAAAAAAAGGAAGGAAAGGGCATGACTGGTCCCTGGTTTTAGCACCAGAAGAATGAGAAAGAAACATAAAAATGGAAGGACATGACTGCTCCTAGGTCTCCTCCTAGTGGAGGAGAAGGTTTATTGTACATAAAAAGGAGAGTACAGTAAGAGGCAGGAACATCTGGGAGAGTCCACAGTGGACATGATCCTGGGATGGGCCATGTGAGAAGAGAGGGGGAGGGCCAGACCAAGAGGTCAGAAGGGTAAAGGCTAGAAGAAAGAATCAGGTAACCAAAATACTGCACTATATAAAGAAGGGCAGCTGGGGGAAGGGCAGGCCAGCCCCTATGTTGAAGAAGTTTAGGGTAGGGGCAGGGCATGCTAGCCATCAGAAGGATGCTGAGAGAACCTGGCAGCAGGTCCACTCTGATATGTTAACTAGGCATCTTAGCCAGTTTGTTCCGGGTTTGAGACCTAACAAGCAGGAGGGCTAGATTCCTCTCTTCCTTAGCTAGCACTGGGTACTTGCTTGTCTATATGTATCTCTATATATGACTAATCACCCTCAGAAAAAAAGGGGGCAGTCTCAAACTCCAAATTATTCATTAGATAAGACTGTGTGTCCTAAACCAATGAGATGGGGAGTCTGGGACGACAACAAGCCACAGCCTATGGGAGAAGAGAACAGGAGTGCCACCTACACGGTGGTGCACTCTGGGAAGCAGAGGGAGGCAGATCTCTGTGAGTTGGAGGCCAGCCTGGTCTACGAAGTAAGTCCAGGAAACTTGGGGGAGGCGGGAAGAGGAGGTGAGAACGGACCTGTAGGATCCCTTATTACCAAAATCCTTTGACTCCTGTTGGCCATGTAGAGCTTTACTCCCATTCACAAAGCTTTACTACTAAACCATTAACACTGTACAGAAGTGCAGCTGCTGACAAAGGAACCTGAACATTCTTGAGATGCTCTGACATTACCCACAGGACAAGCAGAATGAATCTTCAGGTCCAAGGCGCTTAGAGTCTGCAGTGTATCAAGCTCCAGCCTGAATATTATGTGTGTGTAGCTGTATATGGGTATGTGTATGTAACTGCAGTACCCACAAAGAGTACTCAAAAGGGGGGGTCTAATCCCCTACAGTTGTTAAAAGCCTGATAAGGGTGTTGAGTTTTGGCTGCAAGTACTTTTGTCACCATGTACATGCCTGGCTCACTGCAGTCAGAAGAGGGCACTGGATCCCCTGGAACTTGAGTTACGGATGGTTGTGAGCTGAACCTGGCTCTTCCGCAAGAGCAGCAAGTGCTCTTAACCACTGAGCCATCTCTCCAGCCCTCTTCCTTCCATTTCATTTTATTATCCTCAGTGACTTTTTTCTCTCCTCCTTTACCTGGCAAAGTATCAACTCAGGTAATCAAGTCTGAACCTGCTTTTAAGCAGCTCAGCACACAGTACAGAAGTTCAATACCTTGCTTTAAATGTGGCACCAACCTCACCTGGGCCTTCATGCTGTTTTAGGACATTTTCCCACTTTCCACTCACTCTCGAAGATGATTACTTTAGCCCAACTCCATTTTTAAGCCACTACCAGCTCTTTTCCCCCTCATAACTTCCTGTCTTACCCTTCTTGGCTCCTTCTCCAACGCACAGGGCTTACGGATTCTTTTATGGCTGAGTCAGATCATATCGTTTTTCTGTTCGGAACCCTCAAGATCTTTCATCTTCACCATAACTGACCTGTCTGCTCGTTAGCTTTCTGACCGAATTTCTACCCTCTCTAGCTTACTCTGCTCCAGCCACACAGAGACATTTCTGCCAACTCATCTTTTTGCATTATTTCTGACTAGAAATGCTAACTTCCTAACTTGACACAGGTCTCTGATCCAAAGGCACTTCATGAGAGGCCTTTTCTGATCAGGCATGAAAAGGGCACACGCCCTTACCAACAACAACCATTGTCTTTCTCCGAATCTTCCTTTCCTTTTCTCTATACTATTATTACCACCAGTAAGTTACTTAAACTCACAGCAGCAATTTTTATTGTTTAGCCATGTTTTGTTTCCATGGTCTAAATCAGTTTTGGCACAGTGCTAGATGTTTCCTGGGCTTAGGGTGTGGCTCAGTGCTAGTGTTTGCCTAGTGTGTGTAACCTGGGTCCAAACCCTAGCACTTCAAACCTGAAAAGGAAGGGGAAATCAGAGCGTGTAAAACCAGGTTCAGTGCGTTTACCAGAATATACTGCTAGGAAGACTCCTTACCTCAAAAAAGTTTGTATAAATAAATGATCACCAGAGATAGATTTTAAATTCTCTATATAATTTAATGAAATGAGGAATGTGAGTGAAATACTGAGAAAGCCCAATAACATCAGTCCTCTGAAATGTGTAATCTTATCATCTAAAAAAGCAGGTAACAAACCCAAAGAATAAAGCCATTATTAAAGGACTCTTGGTTGCATCCATTCTCTAGACACCATATTACACAGTCCACAGATGGGAAAAGAACCACCAGCAATTACATTCTAGTACATGGCAACAATTACCAATAAAATCTATTTAAAGAGCTGTGATAATTCTGGAAACACAAACATGCCTGAGGAGTTAAGACATACAACAAAGTATGTCTTAACTTTAATTCCAGTGCTCAGGGAGGCAGAGGCAGGCTGTGAGTTCAAGGCCAGCCTGGTCTACAAAGGGAGTGCAGTACAGTGAAAGCTACAAAGAGAAACCCTGTCTAGAAAAACCTAAACAACCAACCAAACCAAACAAAACAAAGACAAACAACAAGTAGACAGAAAAAATAGTCTAAAACCAGAATTCTGAAAGGCTGTAAGTAAAGGCTGATTACATATTCAAAAAGTTAAAACCAAAGCCAAGTTTGATGGTATACATCTGTAATCCTAACACTTAGTAGGCAGAGGCACGTGGTTCTCTTTAAGTTCAAGGCCAGTATGGTCAATATAGTAAGGCAGCCAGGCCTACATAGTATGAGTTTGTTTCCAGAAAGATAAAAAGGGGAGGGGATCAGGCAGACAAAAAGACCAAAGCAAAAAGCCCCCAAAGCAGGACATCTCCTTTCCCCTCTCTCCACAGCAGAGCAGGTTCTCCTCATGCACTTGCACACAGTGTACGAGCCCAGGCTGCTCACTATAGATCATCAAGGGCACTGGACTCAGTGACCTGCATTCTTTCAATAGAGCGGTAACCTGATAGGAGCACTACCCCAGGACAATTTCCATTGAACCCTGCAAGTCTTCAAGAGCCTAACTGCACAGACATCTGCTTCAAGACTTCTTGCCCCCCTCTAGTGGTTGTCAAGATCCATAAGCTACTTTATAGGGTTTTAAAACAATAATTAGTTACTATAGATACTTACAGAAAGTTTTTCCACATCTCCTTTTAGAACTCGTTCTAAGTAAAGCTGTTTAAGCTCTCGTTCCAACCTTGATGGCAGGCCAGGATACATGGTAGAGCCTCCAGAAAGCACAATGTGCTTGTAAAATTCAGATCTAGGAAGACAGTGAATATTTGCATGAAAACGGTACCTTATTTTTAATTATATTTTTATTTTTGGGCTAGGGCTGTAGCTCAGCAGAACATTTGCCTGGCAGGCATGAAGCCCTGGGTTCTAACCCAGTACTATATATGCCAGGTACACTATGAAGTGGAGGGAGAAGAATAGAAAAGCGTAAGTCTCTGCTGGATGAGACTGTCACAAATGACAGCAGCAACAAATAAGATGTGTCAATACCCTGCTGACATAAGGGAGTGGAAGGACATAAAAGCTAAACACTCCAATCATCAAGAAATGTAAATCAAATGGCAATGAGTGATCTTTGTACACCTGTTAGAACAAAAAAGGGCAGATGTACAGAAAGGGAAGCCTTGTACACTGACAGATAAATTCAACAAATCACAGCCTCCAACCCACCCAGGGTCACATAATTCAATGTGGGGGTAGTGAAATACTTGACAACAGTAAAAGGTTCCCTAACGTGCAACAGTTAAACCCTAATTAAAAAACAAATGTACAATCAATCTAAGGTTGGTGGTGGCAGTTTCCTCACCCACATTTCCTCATGCAACTTCACTGTGGTCTGTGTTCTGAACTCACTGTCTACCTTCCAATGCAAATGTAGCCATGCCATGCAGCATTTGGGCTCAAATTTGAGACCATGGTATGTTAGAAAACTGGGCATTTTTATTGCACATACAGCTTTCTCTTCTTACAAAAACATTACAGAAAGCAAATACGGTATTTTTTCTACCATCACTTCTTGGCATACTAAATATGACATCAGTATATTTTTTAATTATATTGGACTAGAATGCTTGATTTTAAAAACTGATGTTATGCCAGGCTGTGGTGGGATATACCTTTAATCCCAGCACTTGGGAGGCAGAGGCAGGTAGACATAAGTTCAAGACCAGCCTGGTCCACAGAGAAAGAGCCAGGACATCCAAGGCTACACAGAGAAACCCTGTCTTGAAAAACAAAATTTAAAACTTGAATTTCTAACTTTTGAGTTGCATTAAAAAAAATCATTAAGTGAATTCTGACTTGAGATTAGCTCAGATTCTCTAATAATTTCTGAAATGGCATTAAACATACTTTTGCCATTTTGTTCTGTTGTTTTTTTTTTTTTTTTGTAGTACTGAGAACTGAAGCTAATGTCTCACATACACTGGATAAGTATTCTTCCTGAGATATATTCTCTCAGCTCTGCTGTGTTTATGAGTCAAAATCTCACTATGTAGCCTTAGTTGGCTTGAAACTTGCTATGTATGGCATGCTCAAACTTGAGATTTGCCTGCCTCAGTCTCTATAAAGTGCTGGGATTAAAGACATTTGCCATCATATATATCTAATAAATCATTTCTATATATATTCTATATATGTGTGTGTATATGTATGTATGTATGTATATATATATATATATATATAGAGAGAGAGAGAGAGAGACAAATAACCCTGTATGTTCTGTTACTCTAGAGATCCCCAATAGTAGGAGTATCATAAGTAAAAAGTTTAAGGAGCCCTGATATAAATTATAATAACCATGACAGAAAGCAGTATAGAAACTCTCCCCAAAACTAAAGATTGACTTATCAAATGATGCATCAATCCAAAGACTAAAAGCCAGAATGCTAAAGAGACACCTGCATTCCTGCATCACTGCAATGTCATTCACAAGGGAGGGAGGGAGAGAGGGAAACTAGCTAACTAAATTTAAAGGTCTGATGAGATGGTTCAGTGGGGAAAGGCATCTCTTGGCATGCCCAATGGCCTGAGGTTGATCCCTCGGACACAAATAGTAGGAGGAAAAAAACAGCTCCCAAAAGTTATCCTGTCTTCCATGTGTGCCATGGCACCCACACCCACCAAACTATATGCACACCAAACAAACAAACTAACTAATAAAATGTAATAGAATTAAAACACATGCACTGCTATGAATCAAAACCAGGGTTTCATGTTTGATAGTCAAGTACTCTAACTAAATTTTATCTCTATCCAAAAAGTAGATACATGTTAAGGGAAAAAATAATTCACACCTTTAATCCCAGCACTCAAAGGCAGATGCAGGCAGATCTCTGTAAGTTTGAGGCCAGCCTGGTCTATAGAGCAAATTTCAGGACCACCAGGGCTATACAGAGAAACCCCGCCTCAAAAACAAAAAACACCCCCCCCCCCAAAAAAAGCAAAAAACAGTATATTCTTACTATTTTAAACCATGTCTAGGTGTGTGTGTTTGCATGTCAGTATGTGTGCATGAATGTCAGTGCCCACAGAGGCTGGAGCTGTGAGTTACAGAGAGCTGTGAACCATTTGACATAGGTGTTAAGAACTGAAGTCAGGTCCACTGGAAGAACAGCAACTGCTGAGCATCTCTGTGGCCCATGTACTTCTTACAAATGACTTGGAAACGCTGTCTACTGTACCTGGTATCGATGTCAGCTGCCTGGATTGTGTTAAAAAGCAATTCAGCAACACCAACCCCCTCAACATTGATCAAGTGAGGCTGAAATAAAGCTTCTGGTGCTTCAAATCGTTCTCCTCCAACTTTAATAATGCGGCCGTCTGGAAGCTAGAAACAAAATAGCCAGGTGCGAGTAAGCAAGACAACTTCCCAGGATTCTCTGTAACTGATTCTTTTAAATGCATCTTTCTGTCATCAAAATTATTAAAAGCAATAAATTTTCCCAAATGTTTTCTTGGGTGAAACAAAATAACTCAAATTATGTTCTTATTAACATCATACTGTTTTGTTTTTTTTTTAAAAAAATGGCACACAATGCTCTTAAGAAGAGGCAGCATCTCTACAAGGCAGAAAACAAACTGACCTTGCAAAACCTATCCTCTGATCTACACAGGGCACACACACGTTCTCTCTTAAAAACAGTCAACCAGCCAGCCAGCAGCAGCAGGGCAAGACGTAGAAGCTGCAAGGCCAACAATCTTGGAGGCTGAGGCAAGAGGATCATGAATTCAAGGCTGGCTTGGGCTGTTTCATATTGAAACCTTAGCTCAAAAAAAATTTTTAGGGAACATTGATTTAGAATAATTCTTATGTTACTATGTCTTTAAAAACTTTATCTAACTGGTAAGCATAACTTTAACACAAGCCAGTAAGATCTGGACAGTCTAACGTTCTCACATGACCTACACAGAAAACCCTAACTTGCTTAAATCTATGGTATGTGGTTTGTTTGCCTTAGACTTACAGAGAATTCTCCTGCATCTGGTTCCCAAGTGCTGGAATTACAGTATGCCAGAATACCTAGCCAATTAATGTTTGTATTTAACTGAGAGATGTCAAGTGGAAATTCCCTCACATCAATTTATAATTAATGGGACTGACATAAGTAACAAGCGTTCTTATGTATGTTGGCATTTAATTTCACATAACAATGCTTAAAATTTAAACAATAAAATTTACAAAGCACATTCCTAAAAATAGTGATTCTATGTGTGCTGAAATTATTCATGGCTATGTAAAAGAAAACTGCATCAGAACTACCTTTTTATATTGTACTGAGCCCCCTCCTTTTTCCCCAGACACAGGAGCTCACTATGTCATGTGGGCTGGTCCTGAGCTCCTGAACTCTAGCAATCCTCCTGCCTCAGCCTCTTTAGTAGCTAGGACTACAGGTATTCCCTAATGTACCCAGCTGTACTGAGTTTCTTCTATCTTATTCTAGCCTACATTTGCCCACACTTGTTCCTCTCCACTTATTCATTAGTTTGTTTCACTTGAATATATTTGTGAAAGCTATCTCCAACTGTTTAAGGAAAGGGAGAAGAAATAAGAGTATTTTGTTTTTACTTTCCCCCCCAAGTCAGGATCTCACACGGAGCTATGATGGACCATGTGCCACTATCTTTCTGCCTCTACCATCCAAGTGCTGAGACTACAGGTGGGCACCACCCTGCCTAGCTGTTACTGGGAGAATTTGAGGTTAAACTATATATACAGATGGGCCTCAAACTCAGTGACGTTTCTGCCCCATATGGAATTTACTGAAGTTATAAAAGGGCACCACTACATCTGGCCTTTTGGTTTTTAGGGGATGTTGGAGGAGGTAAAAATGGGGTTAGGATGGTCCAGGCTGACCTTAAACTAATTCAATGGTTACTCCCGTCTCAGCCACCAACCAACGTAAATCATGTCTTAACATTGTTAGTTCTCTGTTGGGGGTTGTTCTGATGCTTTATTTGGATGCTGGTTACTGGCCCTCAAGATCTGGTTACTCTCTGACAACACCTACCCTTGTTGTGTTAACCTGCCTAAGACATTATCCCTGATTGGTTGATTAGATGGCATATACCTAGGCAGGGCAAAATGAGGCAGGCGTGGCTAAGGTTCTTGGGCTTTGGTTCAAGAGAATCAATGAATACAGACACACAGGAAGAGAGGAGGCAAGAGGACGCTACGATGGGTTAGCATGGAGAAGGAACCAAGTGGACTAGAAGGAAGGATTCCAAGGATGGAATGAATGGAAAAAACACCAAGATGAAAAATATAAGCAAGTAGATTGGGATTATGGATGGAAGGTAGACCAGATGAGGATGACTAAGGCAGATGGCATTGGATAGGGGCTGGGATAGGATGATGAGGTTATTGAGACAGCATAAGTGGAAATATCTGCCCAGCCCAAGGTAAACAGGCAATTATAAAATCTAACAGGTGTCTGTGTCTTATTATTTGTGATAGCGGGTTAAATTATACTGCCGCAATAATTATAGGGCTAATAATAAACACTATATAGCCCAACACTCATTTTTATTTACAACAATAGTTCTCCCATGGTTTATTTTATGCAATTTCCTTCTAAACAATTAAGATTGAAAATTGGGTCAGAAACCACCAGGACAAACCTAACAGTTATTAGAAGTTATAAAGTAGGTTTTATTGTATGCTTAGGATGGTATCTTTTATTGGAGGGTGCGGTTAAGGCAGGGGGTCTCTCTAGTCCTGGCTGTCCTGGGACTTACTATGTAGACTATGAGATCCTCCTGCCTCTTCCCCCCACCCCAAGTACTGGAATTAAAGTTATGTGCTAGCACAGCTGGCCTCTAACAATATTTTCTTCCTCTCTTGTGTCTTTTGAGATAGGCTCTCATTATGTACCCTTGGCTGGCCTAGAACTCATGAAAACCAGCACACCCAGCTCTTTTGGCTTATTTTGGAGGCCTTATCAGATTGGTCTCATTACTTATGTGGTACTCTTGCCTCAGTATTCCGAGTGCTGGGATTTCAGCATGTGCCACCATGCCCAGCCAAACAAGTGTTCTTAAACCCTGTGACTGATATTGGCACTATTCACAAATATGTGCAACATAATGGATTTCAAAGTAAGTCTGAAATCAGCCTGGGTTCTAACCCAGCTACAGTGAGGCCCTGTCTAAGAAAAATCAAAGCAAAAACATTTCCCAAGATGCATTTCTTAGATCAGACCAATGACACGCTACAAAATCTCGAGGTCCATTTAAAAGTTCAGGATTGTAATCCCAGCATTTGGGGGGCAGAGGCAAGAGGATCCTGTCTTAGAATAATCCAACAGTCTGAGAAACAAGTACACAAAATTTCCACAAATGCCTATACACTGGCATATCAAAGGACCTAGAAGTCATGCAGCAAAGAGATATTAATTATCTCCATAATTTGACAATTATAATTGTGTTCTATTTTTTTTAACTCTTAAGTATCATCCCAGAGAAAAAACACTGTATAAAACACATTGAGAAATGATATCCCAATGATGCTATAATCTCAAATACTATTTCCATTTCTAATTACATTCTAATTTAATTCTTGCTTTGATTCAAACCAAAAATACTCATGCCAGGGCCTAAGCTGGTGAACACACACAAGACCCTCGGTAGAATGTCCAGCACATTGTAAAGTGTGTGTGGAGTGGAGGGACGCAAACAGAACCAAACAAACCAAACCTCTAGAAGTTCTTCAGTGACGTTAATGAACAGAGATGGCCCTTTTCAACCCACAGTGTATTTTACACAGGATACTTACTGTATAGGACTCCACTAACACTGTGGTCTCTAAGGCCAGCTTCTGCTCTTGCTCAATATTGTAACCCACATAACAAAGTTTTTCTTTAATCATGCGAACTGTCTCAAAATCAGCAGAATGATTGAAGGCATATCCTCGCAATAGCAGCAGCTGGTATTTAAAAAAAAAAAAAAGGTAGTAAATTAATAATCTTTGCCAATGAGTTCTACTGTACAAAAGTTAAACCCCTGTTGGCTGCCAAGATGGCTTGGCAGGTAAAAAGCCCTTGTCAATCATTCCTGACAGCCTGAACTCAATTCTTAGAACCCATAACAAGGCCAAAAATGGTACATGGGGGTGATGCTGGAAGCCTTGTACACTGATTTTTAATTTAATTTTATTTGTTTTAAACAGTGTGCATTGTGCATCTGTGTGTGGGTATATACATGCAAGAAATGGTCCCTGAAAGGTCCAGAGGAAGGCATTAGATTCCACTGAGCTAGACTTACAGGGAGTAGAGAGCTGGCCAAGACAGCAACGAGCTGTTTCTCTATAAGAGCAGTGTGTGTGCCTGATTGCTAAGCCCGCCTTCTAGCCCCTTGTTTTAGACACAGATTTTTGTCTAAGTCAGTAAGCAAACTAAAAAAACTAGTTTTTATAATATTTTTCTTTTACTTACCTTGATAAGGTACCTGGTAATATCCCTCCCAGCAATATCCAGCCTCCTTGTAAGGTGAGGGAGAGAAAAGCCTTCATACACCGGGCAAATGTGAGTCACCCCGTCTCCAGAGTCCACTACAACACCAGTCAGCAACCCTGCACAAATAGCAGAAGTTCTGAGAGTCAGCTCAGAAAAACCAAAGCCAGCAGGTTTCAAATGCTGTAGATGCCACCCCCCAAAATCAAGCAGCTAGTGATGCTCAAAGCCAGCACTTCTTTTCTTTTTCTTTCTTTTTTCTCTCTCTCTTTCTAAGATTTACTTATTTATTCAGGATTCTGCTGCATGTATGCCTAAATGCCAGAAGAGGGCACCAGATATCATCATATGATGATTATGAGCTATCACATGGTTTCTGGGAACTGAACTCAGGACCTTTGGAAAAAAAGCCAATGCTCTTAACCTCTAAGCTATCTCTCCAGCCCTAAGACAGAATTTCCTTATGTAGCCCTGGCTGTCCTGGAACTTGCTATGTAGGCCAGGCTGACCATGAACTCAAGAGAGATCCTCCTGCCTCTGCCTCTGAGTGTTGGAACTAAAAGCATGTGCCCATGCCCAACTTTAGCACTTCATTTGTAATCACAGACATAAGTGTCTATTCCTTGGTTTTCTCTCTTTCTTTTTTAAAAATAATTTATTTAATTTTATTTTATGTGTGAAGGTGTCAGATCCCTTAGAATTGGTGGTACAGATAGTTGTGAGCTGCCATGTGGGTGCTAGGAATTGAACCCAGGCCCTTTTGAAGAGCAGACAGTACTTTTAACTACTAAGCCATCTCTCCAGCTCCCTGGTTTCCTTTCTTTACACTCTTATTTGTGTAGGGCTGTACATGTGAAGGCAAGTGGCACACGCATGCCACAGCACATGTAAGGTCAGAGGACAATTTATGGTGTGTGGGGATGGTGGGGGTTGGTTCTCTCCTTCCATCACGTAGAGTCAAGGAACTAAACTCAGGTTGTTGGGTTGGTGGTAAGGGCCATTACCCACAGTCACTCTGCCCTGGGGTTTCTAAGTTCAATCGTGTGCTTCTTTAAGAGCCTGGGAAGAAAGACCCTGCTACAGTTTCCTTTTTTACCTAATCACCGAATTCCCTTAAAGTGAAATTTTCTAAAGTATAATGAACAACTTATGGAAACAACTGTGAAAAGTGACTATGACACAGTCACAAGATGGTAAATGAATCTGCTAATATCATCTGGTTAGGCCTGGTAGCACAAAACTGAAACCCAGCTCAAAAGATCTGTGATCAAAAGACCAAAAATTCTAGGTTACATATCTTTTTTTTTTTAATTAAAGATAAAAAAAAAAAGATTTATTTATTATGTTTATAGTATTCTGCCTACATGTGTGCCTGCAAGTCAGAAGAAGGCACCAGATTTCATTATAGATGATTGTGAGCCACCATGTGGGTGCTGGGAATTGAACTCAGGATCTCTGGAAGAGCAGCTGGTGTTCTTAACCTCTGAGCCAACTCTCCAGCCCTAGGTCACATATCTTAAAAACCTAAAAGCAAGGTCACCAACTGAGACCTATCCACCCTACCCCCACCCCATTTACAGGATGACTAGAGTTCTCGGGCAACTAGAGCTACTATAGTCAAACACCACCCCAAAACAAAAGAAAAAGACATTAATAACAAAAGCCTGTAGTCATGAGGAAATGTGTAAGGCCTGGGTGGGATACCCAACCAAAATCCTATAAGCAACAGCAACAATAACAACAACAAGCCACTGTGTTTCCTCTGTCAGCAAAAAGACTCATTCATTTCTGTTCTTGAGGCCAAGAACCCCTAACCACAGCCTTCAGCAGCCTGAGCAATGGCTACATACTGCAACCACAGGTGTGCGTGCATCTGGCTTGTGCCACTGAAACATGGGATAAGAGGTTGGTGAAGTGGCTCAGAGAGTAAAAGCACTTTGAAAAACAAGCCAGCTGACCTGTGTTCAAGCTCTGGAATCCATATAAGGTGAGAGGACAGCAACAACTCCACAAAGTTGTCCTGACCTCTAAGTGTATGCATGGCCTGAATATCACACCCTCCACCCACACATACAAACACTGCTACCAGTACTAATTTTTTAGTAAAATGTTTATATTTTTTGTGTATCTGTGCGCATGCCTGCCATAGCCACAAAAGGCCATGTAGTTACAGGCAAGTGTGAGACACCAAACATGGGTGCTCACCTGAGACAGGGTTTCTCTGTGTATTCCTGGTTGTCCTGGAACCCGCTCTGTAGACCAAGCTGGCCTGGAACTCAGAGATCCACTTACTTCTGCCTCCCAAGTATTGGGATTAAAGGTGTGTGCTATCACCGCCCAGAATAAAATTTTGAAAAGAATAAAAATGTTTGAAAAAAAACCACAAGTCAATCCTGAGGGAAAAGAAACCTTTTCTAGATGGACATACTGGGAAAAGCCTATAATCCCACCACTTGGAAAATAAAGGTGAGAAATCCTAGGTCAGGTCACCTCTAATCCAACACTTTGGCGACAGAGGCAAGTGAGGCTACCCTGGTCTGCATAGCACAGTCCAGGACAGCCACAGCTACACCGTGAATCCCTGACTAAAAATAATGTAGTTGATTGTTCTAGGTCATTCTGGGGTTATACTGGGAGTTCAAGGCCAACCTGGCCTACATGAGACACTATTTAAAAAACAATGAGAAAAACAGACCTGAAAACTCACACTAAAAAAAGAACTTTTCAATGTATTAATATTGAGTCTATATGTACATACCACAGTATACATGTAGAGAACAGGGGACAATTTTGTAGTCAGATCTCTCTTTCCATTAGGGACCAGGGGATCAAACTCAGATCTCCAGGCTCTGTACCAAGCTTCTTTACCTTCCAGTCTATTATAACTTACATATTTTTTTAAAAACCATAATATATATTTTATTATTTTCTCTTCTCTTGAATAGTCTCTCTTCCTTCTACTTTATTACATAAATTTGCCTATAGACATATTACCCGAAACATTCTTTTTTTTTTTACCCGAAACATTCTTGACCTCATCTTACATATAAATTTGCATGTACTGTCATATTTGTTTGTCTGACAAAAATGAATGTAAGTATAAACATTCCCATTTTAATTTGATAAAATTTGGTTTTTTGCTGATTAATGTTATAGCCTCATAAAGTTATTATACTGCTGCCTTTCAATCCTGATCTTTCAAAGAGACTGTTTTGGTATTTGTGTCCTCATGGACCTGCAGAGGACTGAGAGCTGATATTGGCTGTCTTCCTCAATTTTTCTCCACCTTACTATATTTTCAAAGATTTACTTGCTTGTTTATTTCTCTCTGTGTCTATGCATTTGTGTGCATCAGATGTCCTTCTGTATCTCTCTCTACCTACTCCTTTGAGGAAGGGTCTCATCCTGAACCTGGGGCTAGCAAGTGTCAGTAATCCTCCTGTCACCACATCCACCAGAACTGGAGTTACAGGAATATGTGGCCTGTTACATGGGTGCTGGTATCTGAGGTCTAATCCTCGTGATTCTACAGCTTAACCACTGAGCTACCACTCTAAGACTCACTTTTCTTTTAGATAGGCTTCTAAAAATTAAGGAGTCAATAGTTACATAAAAATGGCTAAATACAGCCTGGCATAGGTGGCACACACCTTTAATCCCAGCACTCAGATGGCAGAAGCAGGTGGATCTCTGTGAGTTCAGGGTCAACCTGGTCTACAAATTGAGTTCTGGGACAGCGAGGGCTACACAGAGAAACCCTGTCTTGAAAAACAACAACAAAATAAGCTAAATATAAGCAATTAAGATAGGTTATCCTCTTACTTGTCAGAGATTAATTCATAAATGTTACTAGGAAAATATACTGACCAGTTTTCCTAAATATTCTTTTACAGTATAGCTCAGCAGTTAAGAGCATTTACTGCTCTCATAGGACCCAGAGGAGTCCCAATACCCACAATGTAGCTCACAACTATAACCAGCACTATAGTATCCTATGCCTTTCTCTGGCCTCTCTGAGCAGCAGGGAGGCACACAGAAAACACACATACATGCAAGAACACTGATGTACATAAAATAACACCAAGATGAAATTCTTATTACAGGTTCAAGCTTAGACTAAACCCCTTTTAAACTTTCAAAAATTGATGTATATAAAAATCATTCCTAAAAGTTAGTGAACTTTGTATATAAAAATAATATCTAAAAGTAATAAAAAAATTTTACTTTAATTTTATTTTATGTGGGTCTTTTGCCTGCATGGATGTCTATGCACTACTTGTGTGCCTGGTGACTGTGGAAGCCAGAAGTGGACGTCAGATCTCTGGAACTAGAGTTACATATGGCTGTGTGTCACCAGCCAAATGGTGGGAATTTAATTCAACCCTCTGGGAGATCAGCCGGTAAGTCCCTCTAAAGTTGTAGTTTAAAATGAAGTAAGAATGGAAGAATGGAAGAAGGGGAAATGAAGATTAGGCCTACAGTATAGCTAAGAGGAAGTAAGTGCTTGCTGCCAAATCTCATGACCTGAGTCTACGACGGGACTCCCAGGGTAGAGAGAAAGGACTGACTCCTCCAGGTTGTCCACTTATCACCACATAGGTACTACGTCACACACATGCATGCCGACCCACACAAATAAAAAACACAAATTTTCAAGAAGTAGAATATCCAGATGTGGACTTATCCAGACAAATACTTTCTCTCAGTCGATAGAACACAAGATTTTTTCCCTTCAAATGAAAAATTACAGTTACACTATAAACACTTTAAAAGCAAAGAAACTGTCTATCTCACTATTACATACAGAGTGAGCTGCCAGCCCTACCTCAATCACTAATTAAGAAAATGCCCTACAGGGTTGCCTACAACACCATCTTATAGAATCATTTTCTTTTTTCTTTCTTTCTTTTTTTTGGTATTACAGACAGGCTTTCTCTGTATAGCCCTGGTTGTCCTAGAACTTGCTCTGTAGACCAGGCTGGCCCTGAACGCAGAGATACGCCTGCTTCTGACTACTGAGTGCTGGGATTAAAGGGATGCACCACCACATTTTCTTAACTGAGGTTCCCTTATGTGTCAAGCTGACACAAAACTAAAAATCTTTAAAAAACAAAATGAAACTAGCAAAATAAAAAATAAAAAAAAAATAAAAAAAAATAAAAAAAAAACAAAACTAAAAAACCCTCAAGCCAATTCTGGGGACAAATTCTATGTTTATTCTCAATAAAAGTTTTAAATTTGCTGATTTTTATTCTGTGTATGGATGTGTTGCTTGCATATGTGTCTGTGCACCACATGCCTGCAAGTGCCCAAAGAGACCAGAAGAGGGCGTCAGACCTGGAGTTACAGACAGTTGCGAGCTGCCATAGGGTGCTGGAAAGTGAAACTGGAAAACTGGGTTCTCTGGAAGAAAAGCCAGAGCTCTTAACTCACGAGCCAACTCCAGCTCTTCTTAGTGTATAAAAATTTAAATCAGCTTAAAAGAAAAACTATACTATTTAAAAAGAACTGTTGTCACTTTCAGCTTAGATTCTTATAAATGAAGCAAGTGAAAATGTATATGGCACTTCTGACAAATGACAGAAATTATAAATTTGGGCTGGGGAGGGTCTCAGTGGGTACGTGCCTGCTACATGAGCATAAGGGTTTGCATCTGGGCCCCCATCATCCACATAAAAGCCAGGCCTGTAATCTCCGCAATAGAAAGTGGAGACAGGAGGATCCTGGAGGCTTATGACCAGTTATCCTGGTCAATCAGTGAACTCCAGGTCAATTAAGAGAGACACTGTCTCTAAAAAGGAAGCAGAGAATTAGAAAAACACCTGGAGTCAACCTCTGGCTTCCAAAAGTATGCATCCTTGTACACACAAACACATATGCCACATAGACATACTAACAGACACATATAATTCTAAAGGTTTTTTGGTTTTTTTTTAGATTTATTTATTTATTATGTATACAATGTTCTATCTGCCTGTACACCTGCATGCCAGCAGAGGGCACCAGGTCTCATTATAGATGGTTGTGAGCCACCATGTGGTTGCTGGGAATTGAACTGAGGACCTTTGGAAGAGCAGCCAGTGCTCTTAACCTCTGAGCCATCTCTCCAGCCCCCATAATTCTAAAGTTTTGCAGTGTGATTTTACAGAAGAAATGAACTTGTCAGGTTTTGTTTTTGTTTTTTTACATTTTGTTTACCTTTATTTTATCTGTAATACTGTTTATCTGTAAATGGCTATGTACCTAGTGCATGCAAATGCCCTTGGAGGCCAGCAGAAGGTACTGGATCCCTGGAAGTAGAGTCACAGATGGCTGTGAGGCTCCATGTAGTCACATGGAGGAATCTGGGTCCTCCACAAGAATAGCTCTTAACCACTGAGCCAACTCTCCAACCCCCTATAGTAATGTGCTTTGGTTGACAAATTAAATTCTTTTTTTGGCATACAGTATTTGCTGAACTAATTTTCCTAATAGTTAAGTTTTACTTACCTTGAGCATACAAAGTCAAAACTGCCTGGATGGCTACATACACACCAGAAAACTGGTAAGTTTCAAACATTACCTGAAAATGGAAAGAGAAGAAAAAAAGGGATGTGGCTTATGTAGGAAACTCTACATAATAATATACTTCCTTCATTTTTCCACACAGATCAGTTAATGAAGATGCAGCCAAAGGACACTGAGCATCCATTCTAGTTCTTGCCCTTATAAAACCTACCTCTAATTCCTATTATTAAGGCAGAGTTTTGGATATATGCCTGCCTGCCTGCAAGAACATATACACTTCTGAGCTGAGTCTTGGAGCATTCGTAAATGCTACACTCCAAGAATTTCTCAATATATTTCAGTCAGTAGCTAATCAATATGAAAGAAAGCTTCACATAAAGTTTACTAAATTGATAACCCTTAAAAAAATTATGTGACTGGGACCAGCAAGCTTGCTCAGCCAGTAAAGGCACTTGCCACCAAGTCTAATAACCTGAATTTGAGCCGCAGGACCCACATGATAGGAAGAGAAAACTGATTCTCATTGGCACCCTTTCACCTCCACATTCACAGGATGGCATTTGTTCCTCCTATGCACCCTCACACACACACACAAATAAAAACATAAATGTAAAAGAAATCAGAATCAAGAAATTAAAAGAGATCCTCTTGGAACCTGAGAAATAATGCTCAGCAGCTAAAGGCTTGATGCCCTAACTGCAATCTACAGAGGCCACATGTTAGAAGGGAACCCTACTCCCCAACAACTGTCCATACACGGGCATTCAAGTGTGCACGCACACATATACATAAACACACACCAAATAAATAATGAAGAGAAAAGAAAAAGAAAAACTGTCTGCCTATTTCCCCCAACCAGGGTCAAAATTGGCTCTACCTCCCCCTCCGCACAACTCCTCCTGCATCCAGGCAGTTAAAAAAACAAAACAAAGTAACAGGACTGGGGATGTAATTCAGTAGAAGAGTTCTTTCTAGATTGAATGAGTCTGAGTCTGATTCCCCAGTAGTGGGAGGGAGGGAGGGAGGGAAAAAATAAGGTGAAGACAAAAATACTAAGTTGTCAGATATAGACTGCTCAGCTGCCCAGCCCACTGCCTCTACTTGACTTGAGACTTTAACTCCACTTCACAATGAACTACATCGGAGGGAGGAGGCATTTCCTTGAGCCTTCTCTGGGCATGTCCATGCTCATTCTCTGCAGCCAGATCAAAATCTTGAATGATGTCTTTTAGTCATCCACTGTAAGCACTCCTTGAATGATAGGGCAAATCACTCACTCTGAGTATCTCGATGTTGAACAACTAACTGACTGCAATGAGAACTGCACAGAACTTCAATTTTACAACTTTGGAATACATATTCATCAATTACCTTGATCTTCTAACATGCTATTGCAGCATCCCTTTAATAAGAAGTGCTACTGCTGTGTGTGCATACACAACAAAATGAAAAGTCCTCTAAAATCCATCATGTAAGGACTGAAGCTCCCCTGCCTGCCCTCACTTCAATAGCCTTTCCAATCTCTTGTGCAGGTTCTTCTCTCTAGCCCTGCCTTCTCACCGCTTTGGTGAAAAGTATCCTCTATATCCCAAAGACTTTCAAGTTTTTATCTTGAGTTCCACACTGTGTTCCTGAACTCAATTATAATTATTTTATATATATATATATATATATATATATATATATGCACAATTACATGCTTGTCATTTTGGTGTGGATGTTTAATGAGGACCTCAAACTTGAACACATCTAAAATGAACTCCTCCTGATCACTGCCCTTAAATCCTATTCTACTAGTCTTGGTTTTTTCCTTACCTCTTCTAATTACTCAAGCCAAGACTTTCCCAAGTGACCCCTCTCTAATACCCATATTTAAATCACAAGAAAATCCCTTAGAGCTGGGCTGTGGTGGCACACGTCTTTAATCCCAGTACCTGGGAGGCAGAGGCAGGTCGATCTCTGAGTTTGAGGCCAACCTGGTCTACAGAGAGAATTTCAGGACAGCCAGTGTTACATGAAGAGCCTATATCTCAGGAAAAAAAAATCCTTAGGCCTATCTACCTTCAAAGTAAACCCACAATCTGGTCACTTTTCACATTTTTTCTGCTTTTCCTGATCGTAACAATCATCTTTCATATAAATATCTGTCAAAGGCTAAACTGGTATCTCTTCTGCTGCCTCCCAGTGCCATGCTAACAACACAGCAGTCTTCCCTGTTGCAGCAGCCCCACCTCTCACCCATAATACAAGGCTTGCTAGCTCCCTACTGAAACTGGCAAGGCACTAATACTACTTAATCTAGCTTATTTCTTGAGCTTTCCTATTACCCATACCACCTTCCAGCCACAGTGGCCTCCTTGCCTAATCTCAAGTATATATGTCACATTGGCTATTTTTTTTTGAATGTTCTTTCTCCTTCTATCCTGCAGCTTCCTTAGCCTGCCTTTATTTAAACATCATGGTCACACAAAGCCTTATTACTACACACCTCTCATTCTCCTAACTTCACTATTTTCCCATCAGATCTATTACTTTCTAATAAACTACTTAACTCAATCAAAACATTTCAGATTTCAGATGAGCAACCCTTAATCTATAGTAAATAACTAGAATCAAAAGAGAAATGGTTGCTTTCATTTATCCTTAGCAGCAGAAGTAGCAAGAAGAAAACATTTTTGATTTAACATTCTATCACAGAGATACACATGGCTATCCAGCCAATCAAAACTTTACCTCTACAATCTTCTCTCTGTTTTTGGTTGGGTTCATGGGAGGTTCTGTGAGTAAAATTTTGCAGTTTCTGGTGTCTATATTGAGTTTCTCTGGTCCAAATGTGTAGTCCCACAGGTGTTTCATGTCGTCCCAATTTCGTACAATGCCATTCTCCATAGGGTAGTTAACTTCCAACATGGAGCGCAACTCACTCGCTTCATCACCGACCATAAGATCCTAAAAGACGGATGTCACTGCTTTAAAATGGTCAAAGCTTTACGTAAAAAAGCTTTAGAAAATTATATTCCTGAATTTCAGAAAGCTCGGGAATAACTGAATTTTAAACTTTCTGGGAATTGCAAATCAAGTTTTTTATTCCAAAGTTAAAAATCTTTTCTTTCAAGAACAAAAGGCTTACAAAGTTTAATCAATCTTTTATGTATTATGTGTTTGAATCAATAAATTGACCTTACCTTTAATACATGTTTCCAAAAGAAGAGCATTAACACAAATAAACCCCACATTTTCATATTTTGAAGGGTTTGTATGAGGTTTCATCTGTTTCTTTTGCTCAAATGTTCAAAAAATAAGTCCTGTGATATGTGAAATAGCACATCAGGGGGAAAAGCTTGAAAAATGCTCAATGCACACAAGCACATTTCTTTTATTATCAAAATGACTTATATAAATGTAGATGCAAAAATCATGATTCTTCATTCCTCTTTAACAATATATCATATACATACAGACATACACACACAATTAACAGACTTCACAAATGTCTATCTATATGTGTATGCATTAAAACAACTCCTTTAAAGTTATCTCATGGGAACATTTTAAATCTTTATTGAAAATCAATGCTACCTTTCATGAAGCACAATACTCACAACCTGTCTCCAATGACAGCATATTTAAAGTGAGCCACATTAATAAAATCAAACTTTGTATGCTTAAGAAAGCAAGCAATATTCTAATATTTAAATGTTTTAGAACTCAGTAATCCAGACATTAATTTATTTCTATGTTGATGAATCCAATTAGAAATTAGTACCAAAAATAGCTACTACTTGGTATAATGATAAGTTCAAATTATGGGGAAATGAAGAAAAACCCACAAAACCAACATGAGAAGATGTAAAGGTAGCTTTAAAAACTATGGCCTCTAGGGGTACGGATGTACCTCAGTGGTAGGGTGCTTGCCTAGCACATGTAAGGCCCTGGGTTCAATCTGTAGCACTGGGGAAAAGAAAAAAAAAACCTAGAAATGTCCCAGAAAAGTATTTTTAAACTTGAAAACCAGGATGAGAAGCCTATCAAAAGCCAAACTTCTGAAAAATATACTAATGGCAAAAGAAAAACAAAGTTCACTAAAACTTTGTGTTGCAACTAATTTCTTATAAAGTCAATTTCCCCAAAACGAACACTCAAATTTCTTGACTATTAACTGTTCAGAATCTTCAGGAAGAAAATTCAAAACTGGAAAAATCTAGGCTGTGAACCCTGGATAAAGGTATTCATAGTGAAGTATTTAGAGAGAAGAAGAAGAAATACATCAAAACAAACAAAAACCAAGGCATTTTGATGTATAAATAGGTATGTAGTTAACCAGAATAAATGTTTTGTTGTTGAGACAGGGTCCCTCTATGTAGCCCTGGCTGCCCTGGAACTCTCTATGTAGACTAGGCTAGCCTCAAACACATAGAGATCTGCCTGCCTCTGCCCCTCAAGTGTTAGAATTAAAGTAGAATTAAAGGTGTGTGCCACTACGCCTGGCTTAGAATAAATGTTAATACTGAATCTAGGTGGTACATGTATGAAGGGTCTATAAAACCTGTTTAACACAGCTGTATGTGCTAAACATTTCTTAATAAAAAGTAGAAAAGAAATCTATACTTGCAAGTATATATGCTACTTTTGGCTATTAACAAGTATAATTTCATACCAATTTTGTTATTTGATCCAACGAGAAATGTATTTTTCATTGTATTATATAAGACTTAGGTAATTGGCTAGTAATCACCATTATTTCAATCAATTTGGAATAAGTATGATCCGATTTCAACAGAACATTTAGTTTTTATTCCTCTTAAGAACAGGAGTTATAGTTGCCTTACCTTATGGCAAGAAATCAAAACCAAAGCCTCATGAATCTTCTTCTAGGATCATACATATTATTAAATATTAATTAAAAGGGAACTCTGACAATGAGTATCCTTTCTTCCCTCGGAACAAAAAAAGACATTTAAAAATGCACGTGTATGAGTTCAGGGGTTTTATAAAAAATTTGTTGCTAAATTTGGTTTTAAACCAGTGGTTCTCAATCTATGAACCATGACCCCTTTGGGGGTCACATATTAGATATTCTACATATCAGATATTTACATTATGATTCATAACAGTAGTAAAATTACTGTTACAAAGTAGCAATGAAAATAATTCTATGGCTGGGGTCACCACAACATGAGAAACTGTATTAAAGGGCCACAGTATTAGGAAGGCTGAGAACTACTGTTATAAATCCTGAAACAGTAGAACTTCTGCTCTGATGTAGCCTGTGAGCAGCTCAGTCTCCATGCAGTAAGGGGAGGAGGGACAGTCTCTGACATGAACTCAGTAGCCAGGTCTTTGATCATTTCCTCCTGGGGGAGCAACCTAAACAGCCCAGAGAGGAAGAGGATCTAGGCAGTCCTAAGGAGACCTGAATAGTAGGGGAGGAGGACTTCCCCTATCAGTGGACTTGGGGAGAAAGATGGGGGAGGGGAGGGAGAAGGGGGGGACCAGAAGGAGATGAGGGAGGGGGCTACAACCAGGATACAAAGTGAAAAAAAAATTGTAAAATAAATAAATTAATTAATAATAAATAAATAAATAAAACAAGTGAGCCTTCTGAACAGATGGAGACATCGCACAGCTGGCATAGTGTCTGCCAGCTTGAGATATTTGAAATTTTGTCTACGAAAGGAAAGAAAACAACAAGCAACACTGACAGGTATGTTGTGGCCTTGGGTAGGAAGATGAAGAAGCTCAGCATGGGTTACATAGGGAGACCACAGATCAAAACACTAAACCAGGAGCTGGCACACGTGGTAACCCCAGCACTCAAGAGGGGGAGGCAGGAAGATCAGCAGCTTAATGCTCTCCTAGGCTCCACAACAAGACTGATGCCAGCCTTGTTATGCCAGCCTATATAAAATCCTGTCTGAGAAAAAAACCCATACAACCAATCAAACAAAAACCCCCAAACAAAACCTAGAACATATAAACTCTTCCCTAGAACCTTTCAACTTTCAAACGTCAAAAATGTCAACAACCTTAAGTGACTTTTCCTCCTCTCAGAACCAAACAGGCAATGATGCTCAGAGCAGCCTTGAGTTTGAGTTTTTACTGTTGCCCACCACTGGACTTCAAAGCTAAGCCTCTCTTGGTACTCATAGTAACTAAGACATAGTAAAACTTATAGTACCTAAGACACTGCTTAAAGCCATTTATACAGTTAGATTATATTTGCCAAGGATGATTCTGAACAATGTCACTCTGAACTAGAAAACAGAAAAAAAATACAAGCTTTAAATCACAATTACATCCCTAGAAGGAAATTCTATGAAGCCAGGAAATGCAGGTAGGAGTACAGGTTACAGAGTGAGGCTTTCTCAATAGTTGTTCTTTCTCTTCACCCAGTACATTGAGAATTTTACTTTTATACTGAAAAAACAAATACATTTTTAATACCAATTAGACATTCTATTTCTAATAGAAAAAAAAAAAACGTTAAAATTATGCCTATACTATTCTCTACAGGTACACCCTTTCTAATAATCTTTTTATTATTTAAGACAAATGCATGTTTGTTTGTTTTTTATTCAGAAAAATCAGAATTTTCAGACTGAAAGACTACCACAGTCAAATATCTAGGACAGGCCCAGCAAGCCTCTTGTTTGTCTGTCTCTTTGAAAAATGGGAAGGACTACACAATGGTATTTATTTGTCTGTATGTGTATTGGTGGCCTTTTATTTGGGGGAAAACCTCAGATATTTTTTTTTATTTATTCTCAGATGTCAAAAATCTACACATCAGTAAAGGTGGCACAGAAAAAGATTTTCTTTTGTTACTTTTTTCATTTATGATTCATTTGCACATTAAAATTTTACTCAGTTTACATACATGATATCGTACTGGCTGCAAACATATGTACTCAGTATTATAGGCAATATATAACATCAATCAATAAACTGAGTCTCCAACATAACAAATTCACCCATTTCCTGTCTGTACACATAGCTACTTCATTTCTGTATTACGCACACAACATTCCATTTTAATTATAGCATTCATCTACAAGACAACAAGGAAAACAATTCAAAACTATGTTAGTAATTAGTTCTTGTTTGGGTCATTGCAGTATGCAATCAGGAAAAGTATAGAACTTTATTAGTTGCTATCAAACTGAAGAAATGAAAAGGGTTAAAAATTAAAGTACTAAAACAAAAACAAGGCTATCCCCCCCTCCCCAATACTAAAGGGGCACAAAACAACAACTACTGTCCCACCAAGCAAAAGTGGAAAACAAACAGAGCATGTGTGTAACCTCACTTACCATCTTTTTGTTATTCTACTTCAACAGGTCAAGAAAGGTGAAGAAAGAGAAGGTAGAAGCAAGAGTCAGAAAAGGCCTACATAAAATCCTCACTGAAATGTTTAAACATACAAGCAACAGAGACAAATTAGGCTGAGGTCAGATGCAGTACTACTATAACTTATGGTGTTAATTATCAGGGCCAAATGAACATGGACAGTAATTACTAAGTGAAAATTAACTAAATGATTTAAATTTCCATTGTCTTAGTCTACCATCACATTTTAGCTAATACGACATACAAATATAAGTTAATACACTAAGCAGAGGAATCCCAAAATGTCAAACTTCTTTAATTCATTATTGAATTTAAGAACATAATAAGGAAAATATGTGGTATCAGCAAAGATCTAGGTAGGTAAGAGTTAGTTCAGGAGCATTTATCTAAACCCTGGTATCCAAGTAAAAGAAAAGCAACTTAACTCGAAAGGCTTAAAAGAGAGCAGAGTGAAAAGAACTAAAGTAATAGAATACAGAATGAGAAACTGTATCAGTAAATGCTACTGGGGTAGTCCCTGGAAAAATGCTTCAAGAAAACTGTTGATTTCTATTATGTGGCCTTAAAAAGCAAGAAAGTAGGTGTGAAGAAATGTGTTGTTTTTGTCCTGCAGGAAAATAAAATGGCTACATATTTCTCTGAACCTCAAAAATGTTATCATCCATAAAAATGCTTAAAAGTCAGATACTGAGTATTACTGCCACTCAGTTTTCCTTCCTCGTATTACTAGCTAAGCTTCAAGCTGAAGTTCTTTCAAGACAGAATTTGACAGGTGTCCTGATGCATGCCTTTAATCTTACACTTGGAGGCAGAGGCAGGCTCTTTTTGAGTTCAAGGCCAGCTGAGGCTACATAATAAGACCCTGTCTTCAAAAAAGGAAAAAAGATAAGAATTTATGAAAAGAGGGAAAGGAATCCAACAAAATTTCCCTCAAGGTCTTTCCTAAAATGCCTTATACTGTGTGAACCACTTCCTTTTTGAAACCTACCAAAGGGCAGAATTCACTTTTAGGTTTTTTTTTTTAAAGATTTATTTATTTATTATAGATACAGTGTTTCATCAGCATGTGTGCCTATAGGCCAGAAGAAGGCACCAGATCTTATTATAGATGGCTGTAAGCCACCATGTGGTTGCTGGGAATTGAACTCAGGACCTCTGGAAGAGCAACCGGTGCCCTTAACCTCTGAGTCATCTCTCCAGCCCACTTTTAGGTTTATAAAAGAAACACAAAAGCTAAGTTTCCATGTATATTTTTATTCATCATATAACTCAAGTCTCTAGCACCCATACTACAGACCTAGAAGACAGCAAATCTCTATCACTGATTACTATCACCTTTCTCAGCACCTCAAACAAATGTGCACCCTAAGTCTCATCAAAGACTGTCCAAACAGGACCAACAATGTTAACTATCCACAAAACAAAACAAAACCTCATTTTAAAAGGCCCCTAATTTCTGTGTTTTATTTTGTTTTTTTAATACATAATTTGAACCCTGGCCACCTGAAGAAAGTAAGTCAGTTGGTGATCTTTTATTCTATTTCTTATAAAATAATGTGGTTCCTGCTTGATTTCTAGTTCTATGGGAGAAAAAAACGTGCTGAGTCTCTCATGTAAAGTACTTTGGCTAATGACAACTGGACCTCCCTTCCAGTTATTGCAAGACAAACAGTGTACGACCAAATAAAGATCTACTTGGCTTCCTCCAGCACATTATGAAAATCAACTGTCACAGTGAGAAGAGGAACCAAGGTCTAGACTTCCGTGTTTTCCAGACTGGCTGTATGAAATGAGTAGAAACCTAAAGTCTCAATGCCAGTAAGACACAACAACTATGCAAGACATAAAACTGCCAGGCTAATTTCTTTTTCTTTCTTTTCTTTTCTTTCTCTTTCTTTCTTTCTTTCTTTCTTTCTTTCTTTCTTTCTTTCTTTTCTTTCTTTCCCTTCCTTCCTTCTTTCCTTCCTTCCTTCCTTCCTTCCTTCCTTCCTTCCTTCCTTCCTTCCTTCCTTCCTTCCTTCCTTCCTTCCTTCCTTCCTTC